GGCAGCGCGTCATCTCCTAACCGAGGCGCCAATGCTCCTCGGCTTAAATCTGCCATAACCGGCGGCTTGTCGTCCTCCGCTCCTAAGAAGACCAAAGGTCGCGGTTTCCGTGGCGAAGCCTCGACTGAGGCCGAACGCAACGCTCGTATGTCCGGCCGCTTTGATTCCCTTGACTCCGACGGTGGGCCCGGGCCCGAACGATGTCAGTATCCAAAACCTAGATTACTCTTCCTTTTATATATGCATATGATTTTTTCCCCTCTTTAAAATTTTTTTGTTGATTGGAACTGATGTCAATGGTGAACTTATTTTTGAAGAGTGTTATTTGTTATTTTTTGTTTGACAAAATGATGCAAATGAGAAAATAATGTTTTAAGAAACTGATGTGCGAACTTGTACATGTGAGGTTTCGTTAATATTTTTCACTGTTTTGTCGTGTGAAGTTTGGTTTTCGTTAATATTTTCACTGGAGGGAATTGAAGAAGACGAAGAAATTTAGAGTAAATACGTATACTTGGTTCTTTTTAATGATTTTGCCTGTTTCTAGGGTTTTATTTGTTATAGTTTTTGACTTATTTTTCCCTTTTCTTGTTAAAGATATGTTTCAGTATCTGAATTTGTTGGAAATAGACACTGGGCTCTGTCTATTCTGCTTCTAGTTCTATGCTTCTCTTGTGTGATCCTAATGTCTCTTTGGATTCTAAGAAAAATAGTTGTATGTAAATGAAAGTGCTCTTAAAATTTTTTATTTATTTTTAATTTTTTTGGGGATAGAAATTATTGAAAATTGCACTAATTCTTGTCGTCTTGATTTAGTTCTGGTTGCGTAGATCTTTCTATTATTATCAAGGAGTATGATTACTGTTTGAGAACTTTGGTGCCTGCTGACTGAATTTTGACACCCCTGCTAAATCAGCAAAGTTGAAGTTCTTTAGTCCCATATGGACATCTTACTGTCATTGATGAACATTTAACTTTTGAATTATGTTAAAATCTGTAATTGAAGAGAATGAAGAACATGAAATATTGATTTTTTGGTGTAATAAATTATTGCCATACTATTGGATATTTTTGTATTCTATAATCATTTTAAGGTATAAATCACCTGTTTTAAAATGCAGAATGAACTAGCACTCTATATCAGATTCTATTCGTTTCTTGAGATCGAGAGATCGCATATGTAGAATGCTATGATTTCAAATTGGGTTTAATTTGTGCAGCAATTGAAGGATGGATTGTTTTGGTTTCTGGAGTTCATGAAGAGGCACAAGAGGATGATCTACAAAATGCATTTGGCGAATTTGGGGAGATTAAGAATTTGCATTTGAATCTTGACCGGCGTACAGGATTTGTCAAGGTGATGTAAATTTTCCCTTTGAGATCACTTGACAAAAGATGATTAGCTAGACAAGCCTATGTA